TAATATGGCAAGCAAATCCTAGATTTTGAAGGTTTTAGATCCTCAGGCCTTAGCAAAACAAATTTTTATTTTGGTCTTTCATGTGTTTTTTTTTGCAATTTTTATTTTGTTTATCTACTTTCCTATGTATTTAAGCAAGATGTTTTCTTATACTGACAAGATTTCCAACCACGTAAGTGGTGGATATTCAATTATGAGTTTAAAAACATCCTTCATGAAATTTGTCTGACTCCTAATGATGTTTAGCGTAGATAGGGAGCCAGCCTGTTTTTGTCAGGTATAATCAATTAATAGTTAAATGATATCCACCTCTTAACAGTGTTCAAATTAGAAATTGTGGAGCCATGTATGTATTTATTATGTGTACAACAGGATAAAGAGATAAATAATGAGAAACTTCCAACTGATTTCTTAATTGGCTGTTTCATTAACTCTTTTCCTTCATAAGTTTGGTCTGTCATATCTGCCTGAAGCCCCTCTCTACTACCATCCTTACTGTGTATGGAATATGTATAATTTCATTAAATGATTTGGATAAGCAATATTAAAGTACATTCTACGGAATCAACATTCATCATGCTAAATAATTTATGCTCTCTGTTAATTATTAATTATATATGAATCACATTTTTTCTGATGGCTTCCCTGCTAGCATCCTATTCGTACCACTGCCTTGTATGTCAGATATAATTAATGTCAGCTGACCCCGCCCTCATACTCAGCAATTACTTACTTAATAACCGTGTATTCAATATAGTGGCGCTGAAGTTTGGTGCTCCAGATGCTTGGCCTCCAAATATGGGGTTCTGGGTTAAAATCCATCATACCCTCCATTTCCACAAATACATTAAAAGAATTTGTTTATAAAATATTATGAAAATGCCATTATGGCACACGACAATAAGAATATATTCAAACAAAATGCATTCAATTTGTGCCTGTTTAGGTGGAGGAATTTTACTAATAATAAATTGCCCGAAGAGACTAATAATTATAATAATTACAAAGCAAAAAGAAAAAAAATTATTTACATTAAGAAAATTAATTTAAATTAAATAATTATTGATTAGATTTTATTCCCTTAAATAATGATTACGATCTAAAGCAATCTGGTTTATCTCCTATATATTTTATTGAATAAATATAAAATGAACATAAAACAGTTCATTGCAGTAAAAACTGCAAAATGAGTTGTTAAAACATGTAGAAAACAAGTTATGTCAAAAGTTAAGATATGAAAGTTATCAGATGTAATTTTTTAGACAGAGTCAATTCATTTGTTTCCTGTCTGTGTTTTGTACATAAGCAGAGTAATATGTACAAATATAGACTTTAAAATATTACAGCTGTGACAGGTTCATTATTCACACCAGAATATGATCCCTATTTTCAGGCAAATTGTACTGTTTTATATATTTATATGATGATGATAAATGAGAATATTGCGATATTATTACTATAATCAAATAGGAAGTTAAACTTCCTATTCACTAATTTGCCATCAAGATGGTGGAATGAGTATTGGGAAATCCAGACTGGATGCAGGCTAGTTCAAGGGAAGCTTGTCTGATAATGGGATACGTTTTATTACATCTCAAGGATATGTATGTGAAAAGTTAGAGTGAGTGAGTGAGTGAGTGGGAGCTTGGAAGGAATCGTTTAGCATATGTAGGCTACGTTAGAATATCAGGTCAAGGATATATTAATTAAATTGCGATAATTTTGTTTTCCTCTGTTTTCCCTTTTTTCCCCCCGCATGTGAAAATTTGTTCCAACAATATACAAACATAAAAACATTTGATAAACAAAATATTAATATTTATTCTATATTTGAATGAAGTTAAATATTACAGAATGGTTGTCTCATAAAGTTCCAAAAGAAAAGTCCAAATTTGAAATTTAAGTTATTTGACTGAAACAAACTATTGTATTACATTCATTGTATATACAGTGTTAAACATAGTTTTTAGACTTAGCTTTACTATAATATATAATTTTAAGGAATTGAAAAGATAGGATTCAAATATGAAAAAACTAAAATAAATACTAGACTAAAATGTCCAGGCTGTCAAACTTTATTTTACAAAAAAAAATGCGACATGCCTATACATGGTCATGGTGACATAACCTCTGACCATTTATGGGCATACCACCGTTTCCTGCCAGGGTTTCTTAGCTCAACCATGGCTCAACTAAAACACTATTATTCATTGACTCACTCCTTTATTGTTTGATTAATTGATTGATTGATTGATTGATTGACTAATACTTGATCTGTTTCCAGCTGGTGAAGACTACCATGGCATCAGTACGAACCTAGACTTTGCACCAGGCATCACCATGCAGACTGTTAAGGTTAACATCCTTGATGACATTGGCCAACCTATATTAGAAGGAACTGAAACCTTTGAACTTTACCTGCGTATGCCGATGAATGCTGTTCTTGGAGATCCTAGTCATGCAACCATCGTTATTCAGGATACCGTGTCCGATCGTAAGTTTCAAACATAGTATCTAGAAATTAAAGGCATAAGTTTTACTATTGATATTTAGAAAATCAAGATAAGTTAAAATTTGTATTTTTTTATATACTATATATAAAATATACATGAATCTTTATGCTTAGTCAATTTGAAATTTTCTTTTAACAATATTTCACTTTCTTTACAGTTCCTAAGGTGGCATTCCGTGCTGGATCCTACACTGTCAACGAGAATGACGGCATTGCAACCGCCATTGTTGTCAGAACTGGTGACCTTTCCCAACCAAGCTCCGTACGCTGTTACTCACGACAAGGGTCAGCTCAGGTCATGATGGACTACGACGAGAGACCGAACACAGGCGTATCTGTTATCAGATTTGATGCTGGTATGGAAGCCTATTGTTTCACTATTGTTGTACATGGATATATTGTATTAGCTTGCTTCTAGAATTTAGAGGAAGGACAAGTCACAGGGGATCTAAATTTTGTTTTCTTTTACGCGTTTATCCTCCTCGGTTTCTTTTATGAATTGAGTGACATTTAGTTTGAGGCTATTCCTTGTGGAATTCTCAAACCATGATCTGGCAGTTTCAGACCAAAGTATTTGCAAATTTGCACATTTCAGTATCGTTTCCCTGGGTTTATATCCCATGCTTACCATGTGGATATTAGTTTAAACTCATTCAATAATGTGAAAAACATGAAATGGCCATGTTTTTTTTTATTATTCAATGATTTTAAAACTACTGTCCATATTATGATAATGTTATTGATGATAAGGCACTCATTTTGTTTATTTATATCTCATACTTTGTACCAGTATATGTGGACATTAGTTTAAAATCATTGAATAATATAAAAAACATTAAATGACCATGTTTTTCACATTACAGTATTCAATTATTTAACAATGTCTATATTTTATGATAACGTTAAGGATAAGCCATATAGTTTGTTTACTATCCTTATTAGTATATAGGATATAAGTTTAAATTCATTGAATAGTGTAAAAAACATGTTCATTTTTTTTTTATTGACTTAAGTTAATTAGTATAATTAATATGATAACGTTAAGGATAAGACATTCACAGTATTATTTATTTTTTAACCTTTAAATTCTGTTTTCTTTTAGGTGAATCTGAGAAGGCATGCACTGTTGTACTGATGAACGATAACTTATACGAAGAGAAAGAGAAATTCCGTCTGGTGTTGAACCGTGCCCGTACGAGTACTAACCTACCAGCCCTCATTGGTGAACAGAATGAGACCCTCATATTTATCAATGATGATGGAGACAGTAAGTTTCATTGGTTTAATGGTTTTAAAATAATTAAATCCTTTAATGAAGTAAAGTCAGACTATACTAGCAGTTTTTATTTCATTTTTGAGTATAAATAATAATTATTATTATATTATATTAAAGATTACATATTAAACATTACTGCACTGGTACAGATATACTCTATGCTGTACTGGTGGAATTCCTCTGTAAAATGGAATGAGTTATAATTCTTCCGTAAAATTGAATATGTTAATTCTCATCATAAGTTTGCGTTCCAACTACTCACCCTTCCAATCTATCAGTGAGTTGGTAATAGGACTCTGACAGATGACCAATGGCTGATACCAGCTTGTCTGATAATAGGTAGTTTTCGCTGCACGACGTTAACCTTAACTTTAACGTTAGTACCCAATGTGTAACGCGATAGCTCCGCCCCTTTTTGTAAACAAATCGGAATACGCATGCTCAAACTCGTAACTATCGTACGTCGAGCACGTAAAATCCTGAAATTTATGTACTCTGCAACGCAAGATGAAAAAATTATGACATCATTTGGTAACATTAAGGTTACCAAATGACTATGTTTAGAGTAATTTTGACCTAGTTTCTGCAGTATGTTTATGCTCATATCAGCAGCCTATTTTCAGTACTCAAAAAAAAAAAATTTGTTGAAAAAATTTTTTTTTTTTTTAATTTTATTAATTTTTTTCATTTATTTTATTAAATAGTTAGTAGATATTGAATATCAATGCACCAGCAAACAACCCAAGGGTGATATTTGACTCTACCAAAATAAAAAATTTAAAAAAAAAAAGCCTCCCTCCCTCCCTCATCACTTTTCCTGCCCAGATAGGGTGATAAACTAATAATATTTTTTATAGGGCCTAATGGTGTTTTTATTGATCTTTATGTGTCTTTTTTCCATGAGAGATTATATTATAATCTAGCTAATGTCCTGATGTTTAATACTGACTGTAAAATTCTGGGGAGAAATGGCTGCAAAACGTTTTGTACATTTTCAAATCTACTTCTTAATATATAAGTTTATAAATTGAACCACAGCAAGAAGTACTAGTTCTCTCACAGAATTATGACTTTTACAGACTCATTTGAAGTTAATAGGTTCCAGTTGGTAATAGGCTTCCATCACGCCTGTCTACAACATGAATTTATGATTCAGTTAACTGTAATTATGTGCTTGTCACTGAATGTTCCTTGTACACTCACATGAGTCACAAATTGTAATTTGCAATGGTACAACCAGATGTTGAATGTCTTGGTATTTTTTTTTCTCTTTTGGCTGTCAATCTTTTAAAAGAAATAAGGAGATCTTTGTATGGTATTACTTATTAATGTTAATTGAATTATTTTCTACTTTTTCTTCATTAAAGTATATGTTTTGTCTCACTGACATCCTCTCTGGTTAACAGCATAGCGCATCAGCTAAACTGGTTATTGTGGAACTAAATCCTAGAATGTGGAACTAAATCCCAAATCCAATGAATACGTAATGGTCATTCCTGGTATTTTATCCCAACTAATTCTACATAGTACCATATGAGGCTTGCCATGGAAAAACTGGCATCAGGGAATAAAGCAAGAAAATTCATTTTTTAAATATATGCATATTCTCCATATTATAATCTTTAAATTATTTATTTACTTATTTTATTTTTATTTATTTATTTATTTATTATTTATTTATTTATTTATTTATTTATTATTTATTTATTATTTATTTATTTATTTATTTATTTATTTATTTATTTATTTATTTATTTATTTATTTTTTATTTATTTATTTATTTATTATTTATTTATTTATTTATTTACTACCATTATGGTAATTAGTTTAACATTTAGAAACAGTTGATGGTTTTCGGACGACAAGCCTCATATATGCTTGCTAAGGTTTCGCAGAATGCATTGCATTGTCATACTGTCAAGACAAGGTGACTTGCATTGCGCTTGAATAAAAATCTTTTGAACATGAGAACAGAACATTTCTAGTACGCTACATTTAATTACAAGCTTAAAAATTATAATAATTTACTTAATTTCTCTTCAGAACCCATCATTAAATTCAAGGAGACCAGATACAATGTTGATGAACCAACTGATGATAGCGAAGAAGCAGTGGCCAAAATTACCGTGGTCCGACTCGGTGATACCTCAAAGACTTCTGTTGTTCGAGTTTACACTAAAGATGGCTCAGCTAAGAGTGGATACGATTACGACGCACTTTCAAGAAGTAATAATTAGTGAATTTTTGATTGGGCCTATGATTATTTACAATATGAAATATTTAAAATAGACCTAATCGGACCTGTAAACATCAACCAATTTAGGGTGGCTAAATTCATTTAGTAAGGTTAATTTGGCCTCTTCCTTATTTTATAAAAAGCCATAATGAAAAACATAATATAACCTTGTGAAAATTATCACTTATCAATTCCATATGCCAGTATTTAGATTGAATGAATTTCAGACTAGCTGTATGTGCAGACCTTAAACTTTAAAAGTTGTTTATCTTGGAAATTTAGCAGTTAACAGCGCATTGTATATACGCTGCCATTGGTTTTGCTTTGTATTATAACTAAATCCTGTCTTGGGGCTGGTATAAAAATCCTATTTTGTAATCCCTACACTTTTATTTAGTTTAGGAATTTGTTCAAAGAATTACCTTGATTGCTCTGCTTTTAAAACGTTTCCTCTTATTTCATCAAGATTTGTAACATTTCATTTTGATAAGTACCCTGTCTGACCTTCCTGCGAAAAAAAAAATATTTTGAAAGCAATTGTTATTTTTTTGTGCTTTATTCCATTTTTCTTCTTCAACATTCCATTATAAATTAAAGTAGCATAGTATTTTTGATAGTGATTTTTCAATTCTTAAGGCTTTTCAGTCATAATACTTGAGTATTTCTATTAAAAAAAATAATGTTACAATTTACTGTCATGTTATATTTAAAAAACTATAATTATTTATTTACTTATTATTAATTCAACAAAAATATAGTACAATGATATTTTGGAAAATAATTGTTTATTTTTAATTTTAGTAATCTAAAAATTTCTCATAAAATAGTGGCACAAAGTATAAGAGAAATTTAGTAAAACATAAGTGCTACAAACTGTCTAAAAATAAAAATTGTTTAGAACCTTTTAAGAAATCACCAAAACCCCTCAGAGGAATCTTTTTTTTTATAAAAGCTTTTCAAGATTACTTATAGTAAGCTGATTATCCGATATGATTACATCCAGATATAAAATTATGAAAAACAATGTCAACAAAAAAATAAAGTGTGTTTATATTAGTCAGTTCAAATATTCACATACAAATGCACAGTGCCTATTGTCATTCCAAAATCCTTATTTAATTACGAAGGATTTTTAGAGAAAAAAGTTATTAACTGATCATTGAATTAAACTGTTTGTGTTTGAATTTCAATTTAATTTGGAATGTTCTATGGCGATGTTATCTTTGTAACTAAACCACGAATAATAATTGCTTTATATAGATTGGGTTGGTACAATTTCAGCTCTAAAACTTTTCTAACCATAGAATTGAGTATTAAGAAATTTATATTTATGAAATAGTAATGTGTGATCATTAAAAACTTTTTGCTTCTCTGGCTACTAAATTATTTTCAATTATTAGTATTCATTAATTTTTGGTAGGAAATATATTTATCTTGAAAATATATTAGAAATATTTTTTTCTTTCTGGAAATGATAATTTTGAATGTGACACATGCAAATCTTTCCGTTTCAAGTATGACTTTTTTGGAAATATCAATTTAACTCAATATGCGATGAATGATCAAGAGAATGATCTAGTGAAATCTTCAGTTTCTTCTTTGATTGATTAATAAATGTGCGGAAGTCACTCAATACAGACAAATCAGCCCCATTAATTTGCTGTTCTTTAGGCTCTTAAGTACTAAATTGCTCACAGAGTTGATTATTATATAACAAGAATTTCCAAATCAGGTTTTTGTCTCGCGACTTCATAACCTCCGTGATTACAATCCAAATCAGCAATGTTGTAACACCTGCTTGCTGCAACATCCTAATCATATCTGCTTCCTTTCAAAACCCAACTCTCGGGATTCGCAACGATTCGGTCTACAAAACAAGTTTTTACACCCGAGATCATTAAAACGTTGACCTTTCAGTTGTTATTTACGGCGTTAAGAGGAATCTCAGAAATTTGGAAATTGCATTATCCCTTGTGGATTTTTATCATATTGCTAATATAATGAAATACAAAGGCTCCAGAACTTAGTTCTCATCTTTGTTTTAATGAAGGGTAATTTAGACCAAGGATGTCTGAATCGAAAGTAGAAAATTTTAGCAAATTGAAACAATGCTTCAATTTGATCAGATTTAGACTTTATTTGAATGTACACATAGCATGCTGTAACTTGACTTTTTATTTTACTATGCTTTTATATTTTGTAACTGGGCCATTTTTAAAATGCAGTACTACGTTACTGAAAATGCAATCCAGTAAAATGAAAGAATAAATAGATAAATAATAAAAGGAATCAATAGATATATATAAAATATTGGCAATCTAGGTCAATCTCAGCTTGACTAATGATATGATTGAATCATTTCTAGCTCTCACTACTGATATGTATGAGGGGGTGATGCCAATGTAATAAGCAGAGGGAGTGAAATCTTCCAGTATATTAAGGAAAATAACTGAATTGGTACAACTTTCAGTGCACCAAACTTATACCACCTACACTTATGTCCCTGTGCCCTACTGTTTACATTTACTCTTTTGCTTCATGTATTCATTTAAAAAAAAAAAAAAAACTTGTGTTGAAACTTGTAAAAGAAATCTAATTTGATTCTCTAAAGCTGAATATAACTTTCATTAAATTTTTTTGCATTTATTCAGAGCTTGTTTTTGGCTTCAACGTGTCTGAGATATCTGTAGATGTTGACATCCTTTATGATGACGACCGCAATGAAATGCGAGAAGCTTTCACTGTCCACCTCACTCCAGACGACAATATGATTGCCGAGATTGGAGTAAGTATGCAGTTCAATGTAATTTGAGGATGTTTTGATTTTCATCTGAAAAACACATTTGTGGAGTGTGATATTCTTGTGAAAAAAGGAAGCTTGACAGTTAAAAGAAATTTGTATCTGGTTTTTGTAATATTCTGTCTTAAGCCCTATTCATCAGCCTATCAGATTTTATTTGACAAAAACATGTGACATAATGACATCACATCATGACCATATATAGGTACATCATGACTATATATGGGCAGACTTAAGTATTTTTTTATAGTGAGAACATATAGCTGTAGAAATTTCTTGCCATAATTTACAGTCAAAATGGCTACACTGACATATTTCCTTTCAGTTGTTTGTTGAATGAGACACATAGTTTTATTTTTACTAATAGATCTTAATAAACACTGATTTCACTTTAAAGTTGATTTTCTTTCCTTTTTTAGACCAACAAAGCCATTGTATACATTGACCAGACTGGTGGTAACGTTGCTGGCATTACTTTCCCTTCTCCACCCGTTGTGGTGTCTCTTCTCGACTATGATGACGCCACTGCTGGGATTGTGGAGCCAATGCCAGGATATCCAGTCGTCTGTGTAACAGTAAGTTTCCACACCTTCTATAATTATCACAATTTCATGTAAATAAAACCACAGGAGAACTTAGATAAATAATAATAATGATAATAATAATAGTAATAATAATAATAATATGTAGGTTTCAGAGCTCTTTTTCCACATTATTACCCCAGTCATTAAAACGATGCCTATGGGGAAATTCCATAGTTTGCTGCATGAAATATATCAGAGCATTTTGCTCTCGAACCTCCTTAGATACCCACTTATATTCCCACTTATATTCCTGGGTGGAGAGAAGCAATGCAGATAAAGTGCCTTGCTCAAGGACACAAGCGAAATGCACTAGCGAGAGATTGAAACCTCGACCTCAATGTTGGGAAGCCAAACGATTCCTGCCGCGCCAAACGACATCTAATGAGGCGATAGACTGCATTGCATCCTGTTCATAGATAAAGATTTTTGATTTTTTTTTTCTTTTGACCATTAATTATGGTATTAATGTTTAGCTTTAATCTTATCCCACATTTTAAGTTCTACCAATAAAACCACCTTTTATCATTTCTTGTGATCGTTGACATTCAAAGTAACATTATTTACTTCCTTTTCAATTCGTACAAAAATATAATACAAGATCATAACAAATTCATGGGAAAAGGAAAAAGGCACAGAGCAAAAAGACAAAAGGAAGACACGAAAAACAAACAGAAAAGAAATAGGATTCATAACCTAGAAGGGTGTTTCTTGCCTCATGCCAAAGAGACCATTGTCGGATCAAGGAATTTGAAAAAGAAGGGTCCAAGGGATGACTTTCACAGATAGAGGGTCAATACCACCTCAGCCCCAAACATGGTGAAGAAAATTGGTGATTATTGCACTTCTAGATGGCCAGAAATGGCAGTCTCAGACCCACATTTTGATAAAATTTTCTTTTTTTTTCATTTAAAAAAATTTAGGGGAGACGGGCCGGCTGGCCCCCCTTGAATCCGCCACAAGAGACCAAAAATGTCAGGGTAATTCCACTTTAACATATTCTGACATCATATTCTAAATATATGTTCTTTCTTTTCTTTCAATAGCCATGCAATCCCAAACATCCAGACTTCGCTGTCACTGGAAGCATCTGCATCAATGAAGGTGTCAACGACACCTTGACTCAGTTTAGATGGATGGTTTCTGCTCCAACTGCCGCAAATGGCGCCACAAGCCCTCTCAGAGAAGTCAGCAGTAACACTTTCTTCACAAGTACAAAAGAAGTAAGTCATCTAACACAGAGGAATGGTGTTTAAATCCATCAAAATTCTTTCATTTGGTTTAGCAAGAGAGCTAGATTTTCAGAGTTAAAATATGATTTGTAATATGCACTATAAAGATATACTGTACTGTAAGGTCTCATTTTTTTTAATCTGTATTTTATTTTTCTTTGGCTCATTTGAAAGATCTTATTTAATAATAGGAGGTGTTAAATGGTGTCTAACTATCAATGTATAGTGTAGCGCCACCAACTTAAGACAAACAATTTTATGAATTAGCAAAATACAGAATATATAGGGTGGTGAAGAATGGCCTAATAAAAGAAGAAGATAAAAAATGTATTTGTATGTGTAATTTTTCATTTTATTACCTTCAAATACTTGATTATCATGAGCCAGAACTGCCTGGTTTTGAATAACATTCCAACAGCGTCTTTTCCAACCACTGTTTTCAGCTTCTAGCAGGTTTCTGAGTATGACGTGAAGACACAGTTTTAAGTAATCGCAGGCAATTTTGATTTTTCTTATCAACATGTCCTTATTAGTGGCCAGAGGTGGACAATATCAATGATATTTAGGTCTGCTGCTATCCCTGGCCAAAAGTGTGGGAAAAACCTGCGACCAGAGATCCTCGGATAAATTTGGGGTGCGCCACTTGATTAATTAATTTTAATTTTTTTTTTGACAGATCACCCTGGATAGTATCTACTTCGCCCCAGGATCAAGAGTTCAGTGTTCAGCACGAGCTGTCAACAACCTTGGTGATCCTGGACGTGAATACATGAGTGACCCAGTGACCATCAGCAAATCTGACGGCCTTTGTATGCCGAGAACACCAGGCGCTGTTGGAGCTGAGCCATTCACTGCCAAGCTTCGATACACCGGCCCAACAGATTCAGAGCACCCCAACATGATCAAACTCACAGTTACCATGCCCCACACAGGTACATAATCTTACTTCTAACTGAGAGCAGTTCAGTGCGGTTGGCAAGGATTCGCTGTGTATTCATTGACTCATGGATATATTTGTGTCCCACGTTCTTTTTCATGAAGCAATTCCCTATGGGCAATTATATTGCATTGTATTCTGGAAGATAATGTTGCTATTAGTCTATTAACCATACTTTACTCTTAATGGGGGTTAAGCTATGCATTATAGTTAAATATGTTCACATACTTATTAACTGTTGTTTGTCAATTATCCTGCTTAAATGTATTAGACACATTACTTTCAGTGCATTTGTTTAAGATATGCAATAATAAGCAGTAATCTCTAAATGAAAATAAATGCGAGTACAAAGGGACACTAAGACCGCAGTGATATTTCCTCGTGTACTGCCATCTTTTGTACAAACCGTGGCTGCCGCAGATTTCCGCGGGTTCTCCCAGCATTTTCTGTTTACTGAACTTGGAAAAATCCTATTTCCGCATTATTTTCATATTTGATTTCATTTAATTTGATTGACAGATGGTATGCTTCCCGTCATTTCGACACGTCAGCTGTCAAACTTTGAGCTGACACTCAGCGAGGACGGTCTCAGAGTTGGAACCCACCAGTGCTCCAACTTACTCGACTTTGATGAGGTCCGTACCAACTACGGTTTCATCACAAAAGACACCAAAAATGCTAACATCATCGGTGAGACCAGAGATTACCAGTTTAGCAGTGAAATGCGATCTGACCGTACCCTTAGGTTTTACCGCAATCTTGACATGGACGCCTGTCTTTGGGAGTTCACTAACTATTATGACATGTCAGAGCTTTTGGAGAGCTGTGGTGGACAAATTGGAACTGATGGTCAAGTAAGTTTAGAGGAGAATTTACAGAATTCTATTCATATTCAGTGTTCCCAATCATTAAATTTTAGATATTTATTTTCTGTTTTGAATATTGTATATTTTATCTTGTTTTGGGTTCTTTTTCCATGTTGCCTTGGGTGATCCATTCTAAGTTTATATTTCCTTATATTGGTGCTCTCAGAAATTAATATATTAACTTAATTAATTTGTTTTGTGTTAATTGTATTCTTTGTATTAATTTTGACCCTGATTAATAAAAATATTTAATATCAGTTGATTAATTTAACAATACCAAAATTATGACAGGTAATTATAAAACAATAAATTTAGTCTTAGGAGAAAAACATGTGATGTGCCTAAATATGGTCATAATGAAATCACATCATGACTATATATAAACACATGTTGACTATGTAAAGGCATACAACAGTTTTATAAAATTTATCTTTCAGGTTTTAGATCTTGTTCAATCATACGTCTCGCTGGATGTACCTCTGTACGTGTCGTACATCTTTCACTCACCTGTAGGAATCGGAGGTTGGCAACACTTTGACCTCCAGTCTAACCTCCGTCTGACCTTTGTGTACGATACCTCAATCCTGTGGGAGAATGGTATTGGAACCAGCCAAGCTGACCCATCAGCATTGCAAGGTAATCATTAACGTTAACACGTTCGCTGCCCAGGGCGCCAGACAGAGAAGTTAACATCCATATAAATGTTATGAAAGGAAAATAAAAGTTAAAAATGCCTGATCATTAATGTATCTTTTCAAGATGAATTTTAAACCTACCTTAAAGTACTCATGTAATAATTAATTGTTTTTTGTTATTAATGAAATGATATTAGTTGAGCATGTTCTTTGATCTGATCTGCTTATATTGTTCTAACTATTGCATTGTTTATTGTTTCTGCAGGATATTTGTACCCAACCAGCATGAGAATTAACAAGAACGGCCTACTTGTGGTAGACTTCAGAACCGAGGCACGATTCCGAGGGCAGTTTGTACTCGCACATCCTAGTAAGTTCGGAACTTTCGATTTGTGTGATAACGCAACATTAGAACGGAATCACTCATGCGCGACTGCCTACTGGCCGTCATACATTCTCTGCATATGTAGATTTTGCCAAATTGCGTGCTAGAATCCACGCAACGAGGAAAATTTAACGTTTTGTGTGTCAAGAAAACTTTGTGATGTCATTACGTTCTAAATCCCACCGTTGTCATGCAATTGAAGGCTCCCTGACATCCATCACACTGGCACAGTTCACAAGACAAATCCCCCAAAAAATTATTCAGGAATCAAAACCTGTTGTGAAAAGTAAACATTTTTTGATAACATTTATTTTTCATTGTTTTAGATTCTGATATCAAATCCAGCGTGTACTCAGCTGAACATCCTGGAGTAACTTATGACCTCAGACTTCTCAGAACCGAGCCCACTTTTGCTGAACCTGAACAATTGTGGGAGTTCACATCAAATGTTGCTGTAAGTTATGAGAACAAATCTACTGAAAACATTATTGACCTTTCCCATCAGACCTGCCCTGACCTTTCTCCTCAGCCCCGCCCCTTGGATATTGTTGCTAAGGTTACACAAAAATACAGTGTTGAACATACGCAAACAAAATGTGTGCTTGTTAGACATGCGCATATTACTGGTCCTTTTCTGATTGGTCAGTTGCTAGTTTGATTGACATTCCAGAAAGACCCAGCCCAGGATTTATCAATCTCAGCTAAGCAAAAGCGTTAAGTCAAAAAGGTTAAGATGTTCCTAAGCAAATAATTGATTTATCAAACCACCTTATTAAACCACCGTATTCCTAGCGCTTCTCTAATAGGTCAGTTGTTATGATTGATTAACATTCCGGAATGTCCCGGCCCGGGATTTATCAATCTCAGCTTAGCAAATGTCTTAATTTAAAAAGTTAATATCTTAAGCTGATTTATCAAACCATCTTAGCAAATCTTGGCTTAAACATTGTCTTAGATGGTGCATGCATACAATCGACTTTTTAATTTTAAGCATTTTTTAAGCTAAGCAATATTGATAATCTGACTTAAGCAAAAAATTGACTCAAGACAAATTTAAGCTGATTTCTAGTTTGATAAATCTGGCCCCAGGTCCATTATATGGCCTTGTTGGTGCATCATTATGGAGATTTGTCAAAGTAGATCCCTTGAAATATTTAAATTGCAATACTTTAATAATATTGAAGTAAATCATGTTCTTTTTGGCAGATCTCAGACTATAGTGGATTGTACACGGTGCGTCTGATTCCTTGCTCTACCCCAGTTGGCGCCACTTACTCGGAGCCGATCATCTGCAACCCCAACGATCCAATTGAGTTCCAGATTCCCATTCGCTTCCAGCAAGTCAGTGACCCAGTACCAGCAGAGTTCAGCTTGAATTCTGAGTTTGTCTTGATGAACAAAGAATCTCTATGGTTGTCAGATGGATCAATGGGCTTTGGAGAAGGCAGTGATGCAGCATTCGCACCTGGTAAGAAATTCAATTTCATGATCAAAGTAATCTATCAGGCGAAATTTGATACAACATTCAATAAAAGAAAAATGAAGTCTGAGGGTGCCATTTCCGGCCATCTAGAGGTGCCATAATCCTCAATTTTCTTACCTCAGCCACAACAATGTTTGGGCTGAGGTGGTAATTATTCTTTGTAAAAAGTTCCTCCGTGGCCCCCCTCTGTTTTTGAATTCCTGAATCCATCACTGACAGTGTCCTATATATCGAAGTCGAAAAATTATGTATATATTTAAAATATATTTTTTTTGTAACCTCATTATTAATATTGTTTTTATTTTTACACAATTAGGTGACACCATATATGGTCGTATCCATGTTGATCCTGTCCAGAACCTCGGAGAAGGCTTTTTCTTGAACATTGAGAAAGTGTTCCTATGCAGTGGACTTGATGGGTACATTCCAAAGTACAACCCAGCTAATGATGAATATGGTTGTGTTGCTAATACTCCAAACCTTCTCTATAGCTACAAGGTCTTGGTAAGTGAATGTTGCAATATCTATTTTGCACTACTATAGCTTTGCTTCTCACAACCTCGTAGGCAGGATTTTTAAAGGGGGTTTTTAATTTTTCACAAATGGGCACTTTGAATCCTTACCACCTCAGCCCCACCATGGCTGGGGTGAATTTGAAAGAGATAACACCTCAGATGTCTGGAAATAAAAATGCAAAATATTTGGAGTTAATTTAAACAACTTCCATGCAAATAGTAATTTTTAATAATAATTTAAAAGGGCATTTCTGGAAAAGGGGGGTTCTTTCAAACTCCACGAACCCCCCTGGTTACAGGCTTGTCACACATTATTTGTCTTGAAACTTTCTGTATTTCTCTCTTTTTATTCAATTCTCTTTTAACCAGACGTGGATCCAAGGTAGGAGGTGGGGGCCACCCGGCCTGGACCCCTCTTTTGGAAAGTCAAAAAAAAAAAAAGAAAGGAAAAGGAAAAGGGAAAAAAAAGAGAAAATTGATCGCCCAGAAGGCCTCAGAGGTTATCTTTGGGCATCTAGAACACAGAAGTTTTGTGGGGGAATTCCCCCGGACCCCCTAGAGTGTTGTTATCTCTATCAGCCCCACTTTCCAAACCCCCCCTTCCGGCCCCCCTCTTTTAGACATCTGTGGATCCGCCCCTGTTAACTACCATCATCCCCCACCTCATTATTTATGATAGAAATCCCATGTGTACATTTATCCTAGAATTATTATAATTATGTAAGACTAGTGTGACAGGCCCACTCATTTTATATTATAAAAACTAATTTTTGAAATATTTTTTCTTTATTCCTCAGGATCGGGCTGCTCCAACAACAGTTGTTTCCAACATGGGTGGTATCGACTTCAACGCCAGCCTTGCTGTTGACGATAAGAGTGCCCTTGCACTAGCTCAAATGCCTAATGCTGATGGATTCAGCATGAGCACCAGACCACTCTTTGAGGTAGGGGTTTCCGAAATTCGGAGCTTTATAATAGTCTATGTTATTAATAATACCTAGAACTAGTAAAACCCCTACAAAATAATTAAACCTTCCTCTTATGGGTTTTTTTCTGCAGGCTTCCGCCGGTAGACAGAATTTCCTCCACGCCATTTATACCATCCGCTCATCAGAAAATGCTGGCCGTGGTATCGGCAAGAGAAGTATTGAATATCACAGCATTAACAATGCAGACCAGAATAGTCTCAGGAAACGGCGACAAATTTCAAAGGCAGACCAACAAGATCTACCGTCGATTGGTAGTAACGGTCTTGCTACAAACATCCACAGAATTGCGATATCAGGCAGAAGTAATAGTAATAACATACTAACTTATGGCAACAACGAAATTGGTTCTAACTATAAGAAAGGAACCAACACCGTTGCTACAAGTAACTCGCTACTACCAATAATAATTGGTGTAATTGGCGCTGCTGTTCTTCTATGCCTCGTCTTAATTATTGTATTGGTGATCTTCAGGAAAAAGGCCACTCCTGTTGCTGTACCTCCAACAACCGTGTACCAGAATGGCAGTGCTAAAGTGGTGACATCCTCCGGTAATGATGACGACAACACTGAAGTATAAATGAAATTGGTTCCATCAGGCGTGGATTTTGTTACATAAAATGAATCTTAGTCCACAAAAATTAAATTGTGAACTATTTCTTATTTAATTAAAACATTGGTGTAAGATGGAGAAACATAGGGTAAACGTTTATAAAAAAGTATTATTTTTTATTTTTTAATATAATTTCTTTGTTCTCAGAAGTTTTATTTTCACCTACATTAGTAAGAAGTTTTGATGTGGTGAACACATCTGTGTTGCCACCTAGAGTTTGAAGCTGTATATTGGTCTTATATTATATTAAATTTTAGAATATGTGTAGAGTAAAATAGCTGAATTAACTTCATAGTAATTAGTGTTTATTTTTATACACACATCTTACGAAGTTGCCAAGTAAAGTTTGTGGTGCCTGGAACTAAGCTGCTTCTACTTAATTTGTCATTTTTATGGTTGTTACTCTGATTGTTTTAGCAATCATTGAAATTCACTAGTTTGTTGCTTGTAAATGTATGCTTAGTAAGATAAAATGTGCGAAGTTATAGTAAAGTTCTGTTCAACTGATTAGATAATTGGAGGTTCTGCTGTATACGTTTGCTGCAAATGGAAAAATAAGAATCATTGTGAGTTTCATTAGCAAGTTATAATTTTTCTCACCTCATTTTTTTGTTATTACCTGTGTATGCATGTGCTTCTTATTCTCATTTATCTTAGTTGACGAAAGGTTTTTAACTGTCTTCCTATTTTTGTCTAATTTTTCTTAGCTGAAATGCAAAACTTAGCACCATAAAAATTCTTTAAATTAAATAATAAGAAAATAATTTTATCTAATATTTTCGAACCATTTTTTTTAATGCATAAGGCAGTAGATTGCTTGGAAACAGGTGATGCATTAGTAAGGTTTTGGCTTGGATAAAAAATCTAGGGTTTGAATCTCTTGTTTGTAACTTATTAAAGCAAGGCACAAAAGTTGTCTCTCAATCCACGGATATAGACTGGTGCTTAGTAAGTGTGAATGCTAATGCACTGATTATGAAAGAATACTCCCTTAGGGAGTCCATTATGTTTTCCATAGGTGTTAGATACAATAACCAGGGTAAAAGTTTGAAGCATTTGTAAGACCCCAAGTGTCCATATTATTAGATAATTTTTATTGTAGCATTATTTGGTATCTTAACTTTTGCAAGGGTCGTCTTTGCTGAATACTAACATTATTTTATTAAAATAAATTATAGTCTACTTCTTAGCTGACAGGAGCTTATCCAACAGTCACCAGCGGCCATCATTACTTATTTGATCCATTTTTAGACACATTTATTATGTTTGCCATTTGAGAGCATCTTTTTTAAGAAGTGAATTCCATGTACTTTACGAATAAACAATGGATTTCATGTACAGTACAGTTGAGTAACCAATTAATTTGATGTTCAGAATAAGTGACATATAATTGCATGTACTCTAAAGTAACAAATGCATTTCATGCACTTTAGTACTCAAGTAATTTTATATACTGTAAAAGTAACAAATGAAATTCATGTACTGTACAAGAAATGAAATTCATTTACTGTACAAGAAATGAAATTCATGTACTGTACAAGAAATGAAATTCATGTACTGTACAAGAAATGAAATTCATGTACTGAATTCATGTACTGTACAAGAAATGAAATTCATGTACTGTACAAGAAATGAAATTCATGTACTGTACAAGAAATGAAATTCATGTACTGTACAAGAAATGAAATTCATGTACTGTACAAGAAATGAAATCCATGTACTCTACATAATTTCAAATACTTAAACAACATATAATTGCATTGTACTGTATGAAGTTAAAATGTATTGTATGTACCTTGATAATAAGTACTAAATTACCAATCAGTTTCAAGTACTGTACAACAAATGAACTAAATTCATGTACTGTTGACCAATCAATGTACTGTCAAAAATATACTGTTTAAGTAACAACTGAATATCACGTATTGTACATGTAACAGATGACTTACTTTACTAGCTAATTGTAAAGAGAATTCATGCAATCTGGGTTTTTTTTGTGTTTTTTTTTAAGGAACTGGTTGAAGGAAATTTAACTTCCAGTAGTCTTTCATCAAACAAAGCATTCTTTTTGTCTTTGCGTAACTGCATTTTTGTAAACAGGAGGTAGATTTATACATGGTTTACAAATCTTGCATAGTATGCAAAAATGTCCATTTTGATTTGTAGTCCTGTTGAATGTTATTTATAAAACATGTTATTTGGTGGTGTTAGTATACATATATACCCATTTTAAAGTATAAGACCAAGACTGTCCAATACATCTGTTTGAAGAAAAATAAACGATTCAGTACGTTTTGTACTAAATAAAATGTACATTTAAATCATTTTATACTAGTATTTTAAGCAAATTTTATCGATGTCTTGCCCATTTTTTTTTATTGCAAATGTTCATTTGTGTAGGACAATATGCATATGCAGTCTGTTTTTATAATCTGTAAAGAATACCCAAGATACTAGAAACACAAGATATGAGTTCTCCACAGAAAAAAAGTGTCCACCGAAATGCATGGTGGAAATACAAAGAATGGGGCATCGCGTACGACTGAATCTAAGAAACTTCTGCCAAATTTTACATCACAGTGAATATCCGGGTGAATACATAAACTGTTTTGGCGGTTTGTTTGGTTGAGGTAGACATTGTTGGCACCCATAAGATACAAACAAGTAGGCATAAATAAATCAAAAGAATAAAATAACGGACACAAAAGTGTAGAATCGTATGACCAGACAGTGATTAGTGATAAAGTTTCCATCATTAGTGGATATTAGCGGAAACTGAAGGGCGCCACTTACGACTGGATTTGCGTAAAAGATGTGACGTATATCTGCCTTACTTTTGTTATGCGAGTGCTCTATCTTGTATTTCTAGAATCTTTGAGAATAGATTTTTTAAATAGGCTATTCATACCATTTTCTACATCCATTTTACTCGTTTTTATTAAATGACATTTTAAAGAAACCATCCTTTTCATAATACTTGTATAATGTACACACACTTCAGAAATAAAGAAGTTGGAATTGGGAATCACTGTGTTCATCTTGAATTGTTCGTTATAAGTTTTTGTTGTACTCTCTTTTCTTTCTTTAAGGCACAACAATTTGCATTGTTTAAATTTCACAATAATAAGCATAAGAAACATTTGTCTATGATTTTTTAATGAAGATTTCAATTATATTTAATTTATATGATTTTGAGGCATTTCTAAACCCTGGATTTTCTTATAATTTAGCGCCTCCAGCGCGATCTAACACCCCCTTTTTGACATCTCTGGATCCGCCCCCGATGGATCCATTGCGATTTTGATTAGGATGATGCACTGTTGTCTTTTTAAACAACATATTATGATGAAATATTGTTTGAAAGTTTGCACGTTGAAGTAATGCTGGTGGTACAACGTAGATTGTTTTTTTGAGAATGTCTTTTTTTTTCTCTTTTTTTTTTTCTTTGATAAATGAAATAGGCCTACTAGCCACGAAAACAAGCATGTGAAATTCAGATATATTTGATTTAATAATTAAAATACCGCAACAAAGCACACAAGCCTTTATTAAGAATCATTTTGAAATTGATAATATAATTTGTACTGTGGTACACTTGACTTCACTTCTAGGAACTGCAAGAAAATAGAACATTGTTTTTGAATATATACTGTAAAATTATATTCTAACTAATTAAAATTCCTGAAACAATAATCGTAAAAATTAAATAATAATTATACTGAAAAATACAAAAAAAATAGCATTATGTATAGTCAAGCAATCGTCAAAAAAAGACAAAATAAATACAATTCATACAGAAACACAAATACAGAGCCCAAATAAACCACAGTGCGCACTTGGCGTTCCATACTGCGGCTGTTAATGGCAATCGAAATGCTTACAAACAATAAGGCGCGACCACTTCTGACTTCTCAAAGGTTCATTACTGTATCACCAACGTTTAATTCATAAATGTTGCATGCCCGTCAATTAGGGCATGCGCAAAAACTCGTACTTACGCAAAAATTGGCTTTTGCTTAAAATATTAGTACAGAAGTATATGGCATAAAAAATATAAATAGGCCTAGTATCACTTTGATGACTAATAGTACATTTTATTTCACGAGCTTTTGCGATGTCGGCAGTGGCGTATCTAGAAGTCTTGAATTGGGGGTGCTGATGGGGAAGGGGTGCGAATGTGAAGGTGCAGGGGTGGGGGGTCGATGATCAGTTGAGGGGCTCTAACTTGCAACATAAGGTAATTTTAGATGGTTTTTAATACTTGACTGTGATTTTTGGGGGCGACTGAGGGAGCGCGAGTAATGTTTGGAGAAGGACGTGCGCATCCATCCCCTAGATACGCCACTGGTTGTTATCACAGCCTATATCAAAAATTATTGTGTTTCATTAAATTCATTCTAGCTCTATATTCTATATTTACTTTGTTTGAGCCCATCTTTATTAGCCAATCCACGGATGTCTCACCTGTATTGCCTCGTGAACGGACACACGTTGAAAATACAAATAAATGATGCTTGATGTCATTGACTAAACTGAATGATAATTCTCTAGACTAGATAGCTGATATAATGATTATCGCGCTAGTGACCTGTTGTACCTGATAACTTTCAGCTCTTGTGTAGTCATAGGTTTTATGTTGGAGAAGTCGAAAGCTGATGAAAAAAATGAGCTGTGTACGTCACGTGTTTTATATATAGTATGCTGCTAATCATGTTTATTAAATTCATGCCATTCAAGCCATAAATACTTTACTGAAGAACGTACTGTACAGTATGGTGGTCACATGTTCTTTTTAAAAAAGCAGATATTAAATGGCCTACATAATACTGTACTCACCACAGCGCAAGCAAACGCGAGCACTTAGACTTTATAAAAAAAATGACTCCCGTATTCTTATTTTTATTTGTTTATTCGCCACAAATAAAAAAACAATGTACAATCAGGCCTATACAGAATACAAATACAGTAACTAACAAAAGCGAACTTTATTTAAACTTGGAATTTTTTTGCTTCATTTTTAAACAGATATGCATAATACAACGCAATTTTTGTTTTTCAATAAATAGTAAACGCAGAAAATTAGTTATGTCAATTTAATAAACAAGTGAACGAAAGAAGACAAGACCCTAGAAGATAAGAGATACACACACACATACACGAACATCCCCCCCCCCCCCCCACACACACACACACACACA